TATCCCTCACGACACGGTAGGCATCAGTAAGTTGTGTGATAACACGCTCCCCTTCGACCCGGCAAACAGCGACCTGTCGACGAAGCTCAGCAAGTACAAGCCTACTAGCCTAGTACAAGCGTGCACGCGTAACACGCAGGTGGACCGTAGACTCGACTTTAGCTAGCACCGCTAGCCTAGCAGCTGACGTTTGCCGACCGTCGTTTGGGGTCATCCAACAATGACACCCCTTGAGGCAGAGGCAACACGCCACTTAGCCTCAGCCATCCTTGAATTCACTAACCTAGTTAACTCCGGCGACTTCCACGTATCAACTACGCGGATGGAATCTGCCATCCGGGATGGCCCATCCCCAGACCGCTCCACTCCAGCGCGCCTTCAGAAGTTTGAAAGGCGGCCAGACCGACAAGCTGAGAGAAGTGACCGCAGCTGTCTACGTACAGAACTTTCTCCGGTTGATGAGAGAGCAAGATTACGCAGACAGGCTGGGCTAGGCAATATATCATAGAACTTGACCTCCACCAACATAGATGTAATTTCCACGGGCATGAAATCTCCAAGAGTTCCTGCTCATCCTGCTCGTCCAGTGGACATCCGATTGGGACGCCGATAATCGAGGTCCCCGGCCACTGTTTAGCGACGAGGGTACCAAGGATGTAATGAGTGCTCTCGAAGTGCAGTCCAGAAGAGTGTTGTAGATGCTGAAATGTACATCTACGTAGGAGAGCAAATGTTACTTCGAATAGGATGAAACAAATAGCTCGAACCGGATGACGATGGACCAGGTGACCTGGTCCATTATGGACCTCATCTGTTGGGGACCACAAGCATATGTGGCAGCCCTTCTTAGCGCTCTTCACGCAGTTGACAAAGTCCGAGCGGTCTTCAGCTCGGAGTATACACTCAACACTACCGTTGTCCCTTCGCATAGTGCCCTATTGTACAACTTAACAAAGCATAAACTGGAAACAGTATTCGAATACCTCACGAAGTTCACTCTCATCACAGCAACACTGTTCATTATCATAAGTAGTATTAGAAAGTGTCTGGGAGGTCGAAACTCGCCGGAGGCTGCGCCTCTCCTGAAATAAATAAATGACGATCTTTTCATGAGCCCATTAGGGCCCACCGGAAGGCTTGGATCCGCCGTCTTCAGGTGTGTCAGCAGTCTTCGGTTTCGCACCTGGTATACTGAGTCCCCCAGCGAAGTCATACCAGACCAATCCCACCTCCCCCTTCATTGGAGTCTCCTTCCTTCTTGTCCACTGGAGCAGCCGTCTGGTCCGCAAAGGTGAGTATCTGAAATCTAGTGAACGACAACTCCTGAGTGAAACGATGATGCAACACCTCCTCAGCCTCTTCAGGGAATATGTCGTCAAGCATAAGGAAACCAGACGTGCGACTGCCATCCGATAACACAGGCAAATAACGAACCTAAACCCACAAAAACCATTAACCATGCAATGCTCCGCCTACACCACTGGTGATACCTTCTGTTGCTCCTTCCTAGCACCTCTAGGTGGCATCATCTCTCCTGCTTGATAGAATCGAATGCTCGACTCTTGCGCTGGCACCACTCTAGAGGGGTTATACCTGACCAGAGAACCTCCTTTCATACAACGGCCGCAACGCCCTCGCCTTACAGTGTCTG